AATATTATATAGTTCTTACTACATAACTGTTCTAAATTTTGGACAGGCATTAACTCATTTCATCCTCTCAATAACTTCATGTGTAGCTACTATTATTATCCCTGCTTTATAGATGAGTAAATGGATTGCATTGTCCAAGGTCAGGAGGCAGCAACTGGCAGAGCTGAGATAAAAATGCAAGCAGTCTGGATCCAGGGGCCATGCTCTTAACCACCATACTATGCAGCTCCCTTGATCTGGCAGTCACATGCAGGATGGCAAACAGTACAGGGAGAGGTGTGGAAATGGATGCTACTTAGCCTATTGCCAACAAGTTCAGACACGAGGTGTTGAGGACCTGTACTAGGCAGTAAAATAGGGGGGAAAAAGAGAAGGAATGATGATTAAAAGGAGGTAGCACAAGGGAGGTTTCTGAAGAATGAGCCTGTTGCCTAATTTGGTTGCCGGTTGTATGAGTGCGTTCGGTTTGTGAAAACTCATCAAGCTGTACTTTTTTTTTTAATCCTCACCTGAGGACATTTTTCCTTCTTCTTCTTTTTTTTTTTTTTTTTTTGTTCAGATAGAGTGGGAGGGAGAGAGAGAAAGAGAGGGAGAAATATGGATGTGAAAGGGACACATCGAGCCCTGGCCGGTTTGGCTCAGTGGTTAGAGCGTCGGCCTGCGGTCCAGAGAAACCCAGGTTCGGTTCCCGCTAAGGGTGTGTACCTCCGTTGCAGTTTCTCCCCAGCCCTGGTTGGGTCATGCGGGTGGCAGCCACTCAATGTGTCCCTTTCACATCGATGTTTCTCTCTCTCTGTCTTCCTCTCTCCCTCCCACTCTACCTGAACAAAAAATGGAAAAATGTCCTGGGGTGAGGATTAAAAAGAAAAAGAAAAAGAAAAAAAAAGTGGCATTAAGAGCTACACGACCTGGGCTCAAATTTTGCCTTTGCACCTACTAGATGTGTGATCTTGAACATGCTACTTCTCCCCTCTGTATTACCTTGCTTCTTGCAACTGTAAAGCTGCTATAATACAGTGTCTAACTCCCATGGCTTTACTGCGTACTAAACACTTACAATCATGCCTGGCATGTAGAACACTACTAAATGTTAGCTCCTGTCCTCACCATTTAAGGCCCACAGCCATAGTCTCCTATCTCATATCAGTTATTACATACTTTTCTTTATCATTTCCTTTACTATTGAGATAATTTATTATTATTCCCTGCCATGTTCCAAAAAGAATTTAGGTAGATTTGTTTAGCTATTATTTAAATAATACAACCATATTACAGAAAATCTGGAACACAGAAAATCAAGTATTATACTTTTAGGAGTGTGGTCATCCTGCTGCTTCTGTGAAATGCTTGATGTGATCTGTAGGCATGAATCATAGCTGTCACAGTAGAGCCACCATGAAAGGGCCATTGGTGAAGAAGGGAAGATAGAACACAAATCAGTCAACAGTCACTCACAAAACAGCCACAATTTTTCATTTTAAAAATCTAGAAGATTAGAACAGTACAAAATGCTCTTCACCTAGATTCACTAGTGGTTAACATTTTACCACATTTGCTTTCTCTTCTCTCTGTCAACACACAGACACTTGATTTTGCTGAATCGTTAGAAAATTAGGCTGCAGCCCTGGCCAAGTAGTTCAGTTGGTTAGAGTGTCATTCCCATACGCCGAAGTTGCAAGTTCAATCCCTGGTCAGGACACATAGAAGAATCAACCAACGAGCTCGACTGGTGTGGCTCAGTGGATTGAGCATCATCCCATTGACTGAGAGGTCCTAGTTCCATTCCTAGTTCCACTCCCGGTCAGGGTACATGCCCAGGTTGCAGGCTTGATTCCCAGTAGGGGGTATGCAGGAGGCAGCCGTTCGATGTTTCTCTCTCATGTTGATGTTTCTATCCCTCTCTCCCTTCCCCTCTCTCTAAAAAAACAAAAAGCAAATCAATAAAAAAATATATTCTTTTACTCAACTAACAAATGCATCAATAAGTGGAACAACAAATCGATATTTCTCTCTCTCCTTAAAATCAATAGATCAAAAAATAAAATAAAAAATAAAAAAGACTCAGCCCTGGTTGGTTGCTCAGTGGTTAGAGCACTGGCCTGCAGACCAAAGGATCACAGGTTCAATTTCAATCAAAGGCATTTACCTGGGTTGCAGGTTCCATCCCTGGCCCCGTTCAGGGTCATGCAGGAGGCAACTGATTGATTTGTCTTTCTCACATTGATGTTACTCTCTCTCTCCCCTTCCCTCCTTCCCTTTCACTCTCTTTAAAAATATCAATGAAAAAATATCCTCAGGTGAGGATTAACAAAATAAATGAATAAAGTAAAAAAAATAATCATTAAAAAAGGACTTAGAAAGAAGACACCAAATGGCGGATGACACCAGTGCTGTGGGAGGCCCGGGAGGCCCTGGAAGCCCCGGGGGCTCTGGAATGGGAGGCTGTGGAGGCTTCCGCGGATGATTTGGCAGTGGCATCTGGGACTGAGGTAGTGGCCAGCTTTGGGGTAGGGGCCGCAGCCACGCAGCTCATGGAGGGGCAAGGCAGAGGACAAGGAGTGGATTTCTGTCACAAAGCTGGGCCACCTGGTCAAGGACATGAAGATCAAGTCCCTGGAGAAGATCTATCTTTCTTCCTTGCCCATCAAGGAATCTGAAATCTTTGACTTTTCTTGGGGGTATCCCTCAAGGATGAGGTTTTGAAGATTATGCTTGTGCAAAAGCAGACACGAGCTGGCCAGAGGACCCAGTTCAAGGCATTTGTTGCCACTGGGGACTACAATGGACATGTTGGTCTGGGTGTTAAGTGCTCAAAGGAAGCAGCCACTGCTATCTGTGGGGTCATCATCCTAGCCAAGCTCTCTATTGTCCCTCTGCAGCGAGGCTACTATGGGAACAAGATTGGCAAGCCCCATACTATCCCTTGCAAAGTGCCTGGCCACTGTGGCTCTGTACTGGTGTGCCTCATCCCTGCCCCCAGGGGGATAGTCTCAGCCCCTATACCCAAGAAGTTGTTGATGATGGCTGGTATCAATGACTGCTACACCTCCGCCAGGGGCTGCACTGCCACCCTGGGCAATTTTGCCAAGGTCACTTTTTATACATCTCTAATACCTACAGTTATCTCACCCCTGATCTTTGGAAAGAGATTGTGTTCACCGAGTCTCCCTATCAGGAATTCATTGACCACCTTGTAAAGACCCATACCAGAGTTTCTGTGCAGAGGACCCAGACTCTAGCTGTGGCACCACATAATTTTATATAAGAAAAAGAAAGTGAATAAAGCCTGTTAGTTAATTTTTTTTTTTTAATCTCACCCGAGGACAAATTTTGCATCATCTTCAGGTAGAGTGGGAGGGAGAGAGGGAGAAAGAGAGAGAGAGAGACATCGATGTGCGAGAGACACATTGAGTGGTTGCCACCCACATGACCCCAACCGGGGCTGGGGACAAACTGCAACTGAGGTACATGCCCTTAGTGGGAACCGAACCCGGGACTCTCTGGTCCACGGGCCGACGCTCTAACTGCTGAGCCAAACCGGCCAGGGCAGTTAAAACTTTTTAAAAATTAAAAAGAAAAAAGGACTTAGAGGAGCCTATGAAATTTTTTTTGAGTTGCAGATATCATGTCATTGCATTCATAACTACTTCAGCTTTTATCTCTTAAGAACAAGGTCATTAACCATAATACTATATGTATTATACCTAAGGAATTTCTAATGTACGATCTATATTTACATTTTTCCAATTGCCCTAAAAATGATCTTATTTTTTCAATTTAGGATCCAATCAAGGATCATAAGTACACTCAAACTGTCATGATTCCTTTAATTTAGGACACCCTCTTACCCTTCCCTTTTTATATCTTTCATAGCACTGACATTTTTTTGAAGAGTCTAGGGCTGTCTTATAAAATGTCCCACAATCTGGAGTTGTCAATTCAGGTGAAACATTTTTGGAAAAGTGCTACATAGTTGATACTTTATATTTCATACTGCAACACACAAAGAGGTACCTAATAATAATATGTTCCATTATTGGTGTTGCAACATTTGATCATTTGATTAAAGTGATATGCACCCAAATCTTTTCATTGTAAAAGAATTCTTTTTCTCTTTGTAATAAATAAGTAATCTGTGGAGGGATCCTTTGAGTCCTTCTGAATATCTTGTGACCCAACCATATTTTTATCCAATGGTTATAGCATCTATTGATAATCTGCCTGAATCAATGATCACATTAGTATTGCAAAATGGTCATTAGTGATGTTTACGGTGTGGGTAAAGTGAACCCTTGCAAATCAAATCCTATTTTTTCACTCACCTACATTATTATTTCATAATTATAATATCAGAACCATTTCAGAAATTCATCTGATTGACTCCTCCTGACAGTTGATTCACACCTACCTGTCTTACATTTCTCTGATCTCTATCCACCTGAGCAAGTACATTAAGTAGAAACAAACATGTAAATGCATTGTCTTAAACAGTGGGCAAGGAGATACCTGTCTATACAAGCAAGAGGTTGTCTAGTCTTTAGAGCCCTCTTTCCGATAGCAGATCAAATTCCACATCAAGAAAAGTCTATTTTTCCAAAGGTGGTTTAGGCCACTAGCAGCAGGGAGCAAGGGCCATGCTAATTATGGAAAATGGGGCAGACAGAGAAGAGCTAGTCAGTTCCATGCCAAGTTGGCCTTTGGCTCACTGGGACTCAGAAACATGGCTGGAAGACTGAAACAAGGGCTCAGGATATCAGAACAGCAGCATGGACTCTCTCTTGCTGCCAGAGGTCACAGCGGAATATCCTTGTCTCCCATGGCCCAGGTAGCTTTCCATTGGAAAACACCAGGCAAAACAAATCATTCTCATGATACAGATGGGGTATAGCACTCCTAGGAAAGGTCCCTCTGCAGACATTAAAACATACCTGCGAGTTTCCAAAGCCAACCAAACTCATGACAATAAAACCACCACATCAGTCCGCTCTTGGGGCTCTTACCTGACTGGAACACGTATCTGGCCAAGCCCTGCATTAACTCTGCAGGCCATGTTGGGGGAGCAGACTCCCCTGTTTCTCTCTTCAGACGAAATGTCAACTCAAAGCCAAATCCACTAGGTCCATCTGTTCCTGTAAATCTGAAAGGGATAAAAAGCAAATGTTTTTAGTTCAACTATTTAGGGAAAAGAAAAACACTGGCCCTGGCCAGTTTTGCTCAGTGGTTAGAGCGTTGGCCTGAGAACCAGAGAGTCCTGGGTTCAGTTCCCGCTAAGGGCACATATCTCAGTTGCATTTTGTCCCCGGCCCCAGTTGGAATCGTGTGGGTATCGACCAGTCGATGTTTCTCTCTCACATTGATGTTTCTCTCTCTCTCTTCTCCCCTCTCTCCCTCCACTCTATCTGAAGATAAATGCAAAAAAATGTCCTTGGGTAAGGATAAAAACACAAAGAAAAACACTGTTTTGAAAGTCTAATTAAAGTTCTCCCTTATTCCTGGTGGCCTTAGCATCCAAACCCCTTAGAGGGATCTGCCAGTGCATGAGCCTTGAGGGGAAAAGGGACCTCAATAGCGTATAAGGAACCAGAACTCTAGCCTCACCTTCCAGCCAGCTACAGTACGTGTGTATGACAAATTCCCTTGCTGGTACCCTGAATTACAAGTTCCAAATTCAGAAACATTCCTTTCTGTGTGATTGACGTCTATTACTGAACATCTTCCCTATTCATGCTCCATATTCCTTCAAGTAGTTAATACGCACCTACTAAGTTGGCTAAGAATATAAGTCTTGCTATATGGTCTGTGAGGATGAGATCCTTCTCTGCTCCCACCTTCACCCTGGCCCACAAGGGTGCAAGCCTTGGGTTGGGCTGGTTGGCCTCCAAACTCAGCATTTGCAGATAGGTCCCAGGGTAGATTCCAAATACTGGGAGGGGCTGTATTTTTCCTGAAATCCAGCACTCCATGTGCATTCATCAATCAGCACATATAATTCCTAAAATCTGGCACCCCATGTGCACTCTTCAGTCACTGGAACCTTGAGAAAACAAGGTTTGTCCTCCCTTCCCATAACCAGGTGGCCCAGAATGATAAAAGTTACTATCTCTGTAGCCACACTCATCGCAGTGACAATGAGGCAAGGAATGCCTGCCTCCCTATCTGCGAGGAAATGCTCAGGAGCCCCAAGTCTTTAAGGAAGTCCCTGAAATGGACTTCTGCTAGAGAGGGAAATGAAATGGGTAAGAAAGCAAGGCCTGGTTAGGGAAGGGAGCATCAGAGAGAGTTCCTAAGAGCTCAGGAGGAATGCCAGCATGGGAAGGGTTAAAAGTTAAAATATGTTCATGATATAATTTTCAGTAATTATATCTTGTACAAACATGAGCCACAATGATTATACACATGTAAGCTCCTCAGCATACAAACCATAAACTAAGATGACAGCCCACAACTCCTTGCCAGCCAAGCTACTGGAACAGGCAGTTGGGTTGGTCAGAGGGGAGAATTCTGAAGGGACAGTGATGCCCAACCCTGGAATTTCACAAGGCATTTTTTCTTCTTCTTCTTTGTCACCGTCACCATCATTGTCGTCATCATCAATCCCAACCTGAAGAGGCCAGGCCCAGAGACCAGACAGAAAGATATTCAAAGTCTCAGAAGCTCTGACACCAGTCCTAGCCCTACTGTGTGCCTGAGTGAATTCAGGCTTCCTGTGCTTGCTGTGGTGGGGAGATCACCTCTCATAGCTAAGTTCTCTAAAGGACTGAAAACGAATGCATCCTTTAAGTCACGATGGTCATACCTGATTATATTCAAAGGAGGTAACCACAGTTTACATTTACTCTAAGCATCTAACAATGTGGGAAACTCAATACATTTTGAGGGTACACACCTAGAATTTTGGAGACCACACTAGAAGAAGGACACAGTGCAAGCTATTTTCTTTCCCTGCTGAACTGCCCTGTTTGGGGGAAATTCCATTAAGGGAGGCTGAGGAAATAGCTAAGCAAACTGAAGCTAGAAGAGCTGCCTCCCCAGGGCTGCAGGTATGATAGGAGTGTGAAAACCTGGGGTCATGCAAGATTGACTGGGAGCTAAAATTCTACAAAAGGAGATGGGTCACTAGGTGAAAGGGAAGATTTTAAGCAGCACCAATTAGAGGCAGCTCTGTAAAATGTATTAGATTATTACTCCAGGGCTTTCATCTTGGGCCAAGAAAAATACATGATTTCTAACCACAAAAACTTGAGAAACAAACTAAAAGAAACACATTCCTCAGGATGCACAATGGGGGAAGAACCCTTGGATGCAGGGGGAAAAAATCATATGCAACCAAGCAGCACCACCTTTCTGAGGAGGGCAGTGCACACATGCACACGCATGTATGAGTGTTCATGCACGCACATGTACACCATCTGCCTCCATCCAGAGTGCTTTCTAGGCCAGCTCTGTGGTGGGCAGGCCAGCCTTCATAGAGCTGGCTGGGAGGGACAGGCCCAGCCAGATGGTCTCCACCTGTGTTTGATTACCACCCACCAAGCTGGCTGGACACAACCTCTAAACTCTGAAATATGAGTCTGAAATGGCCCAGCCTCAGGATAAACACACAACCTGGAGCCTGTCAGGTCTCTTTTTCAAAGCAGATTGCTCAGGCAATAGCCAAGTGACAGGGTCATTCAGTCTTTAAAGTCCCCTAAAGGGGCCTGGTTTGGTCTGGACTTCCCCAACATAAGAGGTTCTCCAGCCAAAGTGGTTTGTCTGACCAGAAGATGAAGCCCCTCCTAGGGAGCAGCTGTCTCTCATATCTTCCAAGAAAGAAAAACATGAGAAGAAATTGGCATGTATGACAGAAGGTGGAATTTGGGTTACAGAAAAGAATTTTTCTAACAGAAGACTGCTAAAATACTGGCTGGTAGGAAAGGGGGCCATTGGGATTTCTTCCAACAAGTATTTTTAAAAACACACATTACAGATTCTCCCCAGTTTGGCAGGGAGGAGTTAAGGGGTTCTAATTGTTTTGTTGCAGAAGGATGAATGAGATGGCCTCTCAAAATTGTTTCTAGCTCAAGAACTTTTGATCCTGCTCACTGAGGTGCCTAGAGGAAAGGCTGGCTTTATCCCAACAGTTTGGTGACCTATGAATGGATGTGCCAGCGTTAAGACAAACTTGCTGACAAACTCAATGTGCCTTGAGTCCTGGACATAGCTGTCCGACTCCTGGGAACTGCCCAAAGGTCTGTCTCAAAATCAAAGCATCTAAAAAGATGTCTCTTGGCCTCCAAGAGGCCAAAATGACCGCTAACTTCAGGCAGAAGATGAATAGAAGAGATTTTCTGGGGATGCTCTAGCTCGTGACCTAGATACTAAAAAGACTGCATCATGGGCCCCACGACTCTGGCATTGCTTAAGTAGAATGACCAACTTGTCCTTGTCTGCCTGGGACTTCTCAGGCTTTAGAATTGAAAGTGCCATGTCCCAGGAAAGCCAGTAGTCTCAGATAAACTGGAACAGTCACCTGACACTGAAATGTCACTATCTGGTCCACACAAAGCAAAATGTTGCCACATTTAAAAAACAGCAAATATGCATCAAGAGCCACCAAAATGCCAGCAGTGCAGGAGCAGAGTCTCTAAGGTCAAGCCACCTATGCTCAAGTCTTGGCTCTGCTACTTCCTGGTTATGTGACCTTAAGCAAATCACTTATCCTCTCTGTGCCTCAGTTTCTTCATCTGTACAAAATGGAGATAACAAGAGTGAACCCTAAGGTAAACCATGGACCCTGGGTGATGATGATGTGTCGATGCAGGTTCATCAACCATAATAAATGCACTGCTCTGATGCCTGATGTTGCTGGGGGGAAGGCTGTGCAGGGGCAGGGGATACATGGGAACTCTGCACTTTCCACTCAATCTTGCTGTGAACTAAAACTGCTCTAATGAGTTAATATGTATAAAACACATAGTGCCTGGAACACAGTAGGTACTATTTAAATGTCCACTATTATTTATAGTAGGATTTCCCAGTTCTGGGAATTTACCCTAAGAGAATAATCTTGTATTTGAAAAGGCTTTTGCATAAATACATTCAGTTGTATTTATAAGAGGAAAAAAAATGTAGAAGAAATATTACAAATTCTGCTGCATTGTGTGGTGGGACATTATACAGTCATTAAAAATGGGAGTTCTAAAAGCAGGGCTGATTTCTGAACATTGAGAAGCAAAGGTCTTTCCAGCTGTAACTGGTGAGAAGAAAAAGAAAGTTTATGTCAGCACCCCACTCTACAACCTCTATTGTTTGCTGTTCACCTGTTGTTAACTATAGGACAAAAATATAAACAACTCTTTTATTATTATTATTATTTTTTTTTTCACCCAAGGATAGTTTTCTATTTATCATCAGATAGAGTGGAAGGGAGGAAGAGAGAAAAGACCGATAGAGAGAAACATCGATGTGATAGAGCAACACTGACTGGTTGTCTCCTGCATGACCGGAACAGGGCCAGGGACAAACTGCAACCGAGGTATGTGCCCTTGACCAGAATCAAACCCACAACTCATTGGTTCATGGGGTGATGCTCTAACCGCTGAGCCAAACCAACCAGGGCAACAACTCTTTTTTTAAATAGTCATGAAAATTAAAACCCTTGTGCATTGCTGATAGAGATGTAAAATGGTGCAGCTGCATAGCAGTGTGGTGGTTCCTTAAAAAATTAAACAGAGGCCCTGGCCGGTTTGGCTCAGCAGTTAGAGCGTCCGCCTGCGGTCCCGAGAGACCCGGGTTCGGTTCCCGCTAAGGGCATGTACCTCGGTTGCAGTGTGTCCCTGGCCCTGGTTGGTCATGCGGGTGGCAGCCACTCGATGTGTCCCTTTCACATCGATGTTTCTCTCTCTCTCCCTCTCTCTCTCTCTCTCTCTCTCTCTCTCTCTCTCTCTCTCACCCTCTCTCTCCCTCCCACTCAACTGAACAAAAAAGTGTCCTCGGGTGAGGATTAAAAAAAAAAAAAAATTAAACAGAGATTTATCATAGGATTCAGCAATTCCACTTCTGGGTATGTACCCAAAAGAAATGAAAACTGGATGTTAAACAGATACTTTACACCAATGTTCATTTCAGCATTATCACAATAGTCAAAAGTGAAAATAC